GGCCTTCAACCTAATAGCAATGGCCTTCAACCTAATAGCAATGGCCTCCAACCTAGAAGCGCTGCAGAAAGTAGAAACGAAAGGTGGTCTGGCCATGACTGCAAACAGGGAGTCCCAAGCTAAACTCATGTTAGTAGAGATTGGTTAGAGTGGCAGAAAAACAAACTTTGCATAACTTTGCATGGGTGTTCCAAGCTTGGACCTCTACGGCACGTATCTGAGTGTTCCAAAGACAAGCAGGCATCTTCTTCAAGTGGCTCATCAAGAAGTATTTGGAGTGCTTGTTCAGCTCTCTGGCAGGAGGAAAATACCTTGGCGACACGTGTCGACCGAAAAAGGGAAACAAGGGCCCAATAAGGGCCGGATAAAGAATACCCCAAACCCTCTCCTTTTGAGAGCACACATTAAAGCAATAGCAAAGAGAGCGAGTCTTAAGTTAGGCAATACATCATGTGGTGTCGCCGTCGCCATGTTTCGCCCAACAAAGACACGCCCAGTTTGGACAAACGTCGTAAGTTCGACCCCTGCGTGGCTTGAGTAGAGCACCAGTCTCAAGTAATGCGTTCATTACAAGGTCACACCAGTTAGGGCATGACTGGGCATGACCTTGGCTTGTTCTCCAAGCACGAGGACAAGATCCGAAGGATTCCGCGCTTTTCGCGCTTTGGACAAACCAACTCCGTTCCAACCGGTCAGACCACCGCCACCTGGGGGCCGGGGCCATCTCTCCTCCCTCTCCGCCCTCTCTGTCTTTCGAGTCCAGCGGACCAATTGAGCGATTGCACTCGCGAGGGAAAGGCCTCTGAGACCTTGGGCTGATAGCGGCTGGAGCCTCGCAGCAGCACCGAGCGCGTGTGCTCATCGCGGAAGGAGTCGGTGTACTGCCACCTTGGCGGCTGGCTTGAGCACGAGCAGCACAGCGGGAGGAACAAGGGGTGTAAGAAATGGCCATGACTCCATGACACATCTCTAAAGACTTCGTGGATTCTGAGAAGTAAGTAGAGTAAGTATAGAGCTATATATTCGTGTTGAAGAAGCTATCGGTCAACATCAAAGAGCTCTTTTGGTACAAAACCGAGCCACACATTGCCCACCATGTCTCGGAGACCAAACGGAGAGGTTCCTTCGGGGTGCTCGCCGATCGCCGCGGGATCATGACCTGAAGACTAGCACACCACGGGTCGGTCTCCGCAGGTGAAAAAATGGAAAAAACCGCGTCCAACGAAGCCCAGGAGGTCAACACGTCTGCGGGCCGTGGACGGCGAAGCGGGTCGAGCGGAAGCGGAAGCGGGGCGTGTCGGGTCAAGTGCGAGTCGTCGTCGATCGGGATCTGGTCAAAAGGACATGAAACACCGGATCGATCCGTCGCGCTTTGCACACCTGAAGAAAGGAGCTGATCCGTTTTGGATCAGGTCGATGTTTGATACCAAGCCGGGTAGTGTGGGTTTGCAGGACCCCCGCACATACCCAATCAAGACGGCTGTTTTTTTGTCCGCTGCACCTGCTTTGGGTATCCGCCCGTCGGACAGCTCGTTGCCCCAAGGATACCGGCGGCCGTCCAGCCCTTGAGCAGCGTATTGCCATTCATAGCCTCAAAAAAAACAAGGGACTTTTTCAAATATCGGGACTCGAGGATGAGTGTCTCTGTTGTGTTTTTGTTCGTCCAGTGTCGGCTCAAGACCTTCCAGTTGGCTCACTGATCGCGACTAGTGTTTTTGTTCTTCTGGTTTTTCTGGTGTTTTTCTCAAAAATAGTTTTAGATGATATTATGTAGATGTCATTTCATGCTGTTTCCTCTCCATTTTTCAGGGGCGATTGGTTGGTTGATACTATTACTAGACCTTACCTTTTTGATGCCTTACTTCTGTTCCAGAATCCAGCTCTACTGGTGGTGGTTCTCCACCAGGTTGGTGTTTCACCACGCGACTATGCGGCAAGCGCTTGCCGTAGAAGCTGCAAAATGCTCTGGCCTCCTGCCGTCGCATTCTTCCCGTGGCATTTGTCTTTGTCTGCGAAAGCTGAACCTTTGGAACCTTTGGGATCTACAGCCAGTTACGTTCACAAGGTAAAACTCTGATGATATAAGTGGCATAGGCATAGGTTATTGTATGTCATTGTGCATCAATCATGGAAGGAAAAAAGATTGAATTACTTGAGGCATCCTCAAAGGCAGCCGGACACCGATCCAAATGTTGCCAAACGGCATACTGACAAGGTCGCTGCTCCCCAAAAATATATGAAGCAATCTTGCTATTGGTAAGTCACCAGTACCTGACAATCAATTTTGGTTTTGTTAACCCTCAATCGGCTAATCCCTCCTCCAAGCCGATATTGACCACAGGCTTCTGCTCATCGCCTGAGTGACCAGCAAATGCGCCAAGACCAAAACATGCCAGAGGGACACTCTTGCAGCCGTTTGACACTCCGTGTGCTTTGGGTCCAATGCTTGACCAACACTTGTGATCAAAAAGGCACGATCGGCATGCCAGGCACGCGCACATGTTCAAATACAAACGTACCAAGCTTGTGACCAACCTTGTAAAACAAAGATGTAACCGAACTTTGCCACGCTGCTAACCCCCCATAGCCCCCCAACATCCTCGGTTCTCCGTGCCACTACTCTCTATTGCATTCTGCAATCTCCCACCTGGCTTGGGACGCCCGTGCTCCCAGTGCTTCAAGAAATTGAACTCATCTGAGGGTCGATAACCTCGAAAAAGGCGAAGAAAATGATGGAGCTGCGGTTTCATGACTCCCAGATTCACTTGTATCTCCTTCTCAACATGAGAATGTCGGTGTCTAGGAGACAATCTACTTGTACTTCCGGATCCTCTACTGCATCACACGCAATCTGGCTTTGCCACATGCAATTCATGCCTTAGTGCTATGCAGAAACCTGATTGAGTTACTCGACCTACCTGTGGAGTCTTGATGTCAAGCTGCCGCTGGCATTCAAATAGCTCAAAAAGTCGTTGTTGGTAACCTGCAGCACGCTTGCGCACACTGGTGCAAACGTGCAAGTGTTCAAGCAGCGTTGTTGCTTTTTGATCGCAACTGCATGTTCATCGTCAAGCCATGTTCTTCTCTCAAGCTACTCCAAGCCCTGTGCAAAACTGCCTGGCACTGCTGTCGGGAAAGTTTTTGAAGTGTTCTTCTTCGGAACTATACAATGGTCTTGGATCCAGGACATGTGATGACCATGCTATGTTGTGGTCATGATGAGAGTGTAGTGGTAATGACGACCCTGTTGTGAGAACGCTGCTGAAGTTGTGATGAAAACAATGGTAATGCGTTTGATAAAGAACGATGATAATGAAGCCCAATGATGAAGTGGCGGTCACGGAACAATGCGGTGAAGACGATGATGTGATTGCAATGACACCGAGTGTGCGCGATGACAGAGTCATAGAACAACGCAACTAGACACCTGAGGAGGCGTGTAACATATGATGTGGGTCTGTAACAAAAAATAAGAAAGCCTCTCAAGGACCCCCTGGAAGTAGGAAAACAGTCTAAAACCCTTTCTTGGATGTCTGCCACTTGACATACCAAACGACCAAATGACCTTCAGATTCTTAAACTGTTCCTATATTCCTTGGCGTGTTAAGAAGCTAGTAGTAACAAGTGCATCGCTTCTAGCAACAAGTGCCTTACTAGTAGTAACAAGAAGCGAACGTAGTAACGGTTTAAGATCATGCCTCTTTCATCCTCTTCGCCTCTTTGCAACGCCAAGAGGCTAAATCTTGATCCATCAACAGTGGCCCCAAATCCAAAAGCCTGCGATGATTTCTCCCAGGTTGCTGTTCCCAGGGAAACTGCACATCGACTCCTGTCGAGTGCCGGCAGTCGGATGTCGAGTCATCATGGTTGGGGCGTGTTCACAGGAGATCAAAGCTTCTGACAAACTCAACACTTACTAGCAGTGGCCTCCACCTAAGAGCCATGGCCTCGAACGCTTAGAAGCGATGGCCTCCAACCCAGCACTGGTCTCCAACCTAATAGCGATGGCCTCCACCCTAAAGAACATCAAGAAGCTCCGCTGCACTTAGATTCTTAGATGCGTTGATACATAACACCAGTCTTGAGGAGGGCCGGACAAGAGCACGAAGACAAACGCTGTCAAACAAAAAAAAATGCGACGCGCGATGCGAGCGGCTCCAAAGTAGTGACTTCCAGTGATGGCACATTGGCAGTCTGGTGACCCATCACCATTGCAGATTTTGCTGTGGCAACCTGAACAGCTTGTCAGCGATCACAGGCAACTTTCAGATTCTTGAATTGCCGTTCAGCAACTCCGTCGAGATTCATAGAACAAAAAAGAAGCCTCATGATCTCCTTGGCCTTGTCAATTCCTTTCTAAACTCTCACTTCCGCAACTTCCAAGAAATCACATTTGCCCACCCAAAGACGGCCGAACCATCCTTCACCCCTTCGTTGCGCAAGTGGCGCCACGCCCCTTTCGTTCCACCGGGCCACAAACGCCATGGGGATCCTCCTCCGCTTGGCAACCGCCCTCCAAAGCCGTACCGCTCACCGAGAAGTTGAATCGAGCACGTGGAAGCCTGGCACAAAAAAAATGCGGGGAAGAAGGACCTCCTTGCCTGGGACCTCCTTGCCTGGAGGCGATCTGCCAAGTCTAGCGAGTATCCACCTCTTGAACATTCCAAAAACAAAAAAAAACAAAAGTAATGCGGACACATTCCACAAAATAATTGTGATACACAAGAAACTATGTATGTTAAATCCGGAAGACCCCCCCTGGCCCACTGGGTTGTGTGGCTTTGCTTCTTGTCAGGATCTGTATGGGTTCACCACTGTTTCCCCCAAACTCACTCAGCGTGAGGAAATCAAACTCCAGGGAGCCCTGGCTGATTAGACTGGTCCACTTCTCAAACCTTCCCACAGACCCGGAGAACGCCTGGGAAGTCTCCCGGTTTTGATACACATCCACGACGTGCTTCGTCTGGTACTCAAGTACCGTCGTTGGTATATCACATGCGAGTGGGTCGAACGACGTTGAAGGTTCCGGATGGTTTGCAGGCAAGGAGCAGCACCATTCCGGCTGGAGCCTTCAAGGGGTCAAATGTCTTGGGAGAGAACCTGAGATTGAATGACTTGCACTCAACAACGCATCTTCCGGCATTGCTACACGTTGAGATCCCAAAAGCTTGCTGCTCAAAGAAACCCTACAGCTACAAACTTGAACAGCCTTGCCATGCTCTCAGCCGCTGTGGAGCTGTAGACACTTGCAAGGGAGGGAATGAGAACATGGGACAAGAAGAGACTAATTGCTGGAGCACAAGACACATAGGATCCATTTCCTGATGAAGTACGTGCCAAGCGGGCGAGAAGCTGGCCTCTGCTGGCGAGCGACACAGCAACTTGACTGGGGACCAAATCAACAGCGAAAAAAAAGAATGAAGAGGATCACCAAACCAGAATCAAAGGGAGCAAAAAGAATGGTGGTTGCTGGCAAGACCGTTTGTCCAGGTCGAGGAATGCACTTAATGCACTTCTACAACCAGCCAAAGGTCTTCAATCTACAGCGCAAGAAACTCGACAAACCATCAACAAGTAGCAAGTCCCAAAAAGGTTGCTGGCACCAATAAAGCCTGGCGTGCAACCACTCCAAAAGCATTTGCACCCTCTTGCCCATCTTCAAAACCATGCCACCAGTGGAGAGCGGGTCATCAAGCGCATCTCTGATAGCAGTTTTTGCCTCTCACGGGCCGCACGGGCACCGGCTTTCAATGTTTGACATCACCTCGCTCCCCAATATAATCCCAAAGCAATGGAAGACGGCACAATGGCGAACAAAGGCACATGACTTAAACCCAAGGCAGTGCGTAAAGGCACTGGTTTCCAGGCACTTCAGCAGTTCTGCAACCAGCAGAACTGACCTAACACTACTACCCTTTGACTTGTCCAACCAGTTTCACTATCCTTTCCCCAGGTTCTGTTGAAGTGATTTGCATACATAGTCATCAATCATGCTGACACATATTAAACATGCAAGTCGCTCGCTTCCTCAAGTGAAAACTATCCAAATTTAGAACACCCAAGCAACGTGCGCAAGTATGTTCTTGTCTCGCGAGGGTCCTCTTCTTTAGTGTCCCTTTTCAACCTATATATTCACTTTCACCAACTTTTGCCATGACACAAACTCAGATCTGCTAGGCGTGTGGCCAGCAACGCTGACACGCCCAATCCTTCGATCTCCAGCGATGTCCCTGAGAAGCATCTTTTGTTGGCTGACCCAAACAACGAAAAAGGCTAATTGGAGACACGTGATTCTGTCAAAAGCGACACGTGAAAATGTGCATTTGAGTTCTGGACCTAAAACCTTTCGTTTGAGCAGTCTGCTAGTCTGCTCAAACTCAACGACACGGCATCTGAACTAGTCCGAAGTTCTTCCAGACTGCGAGATGTCCACCTCCAAGCAGGGCGAGTTTGGAGAGACAACTCTGCTTCCCACATTGACCCAAAATGGCCAAGAACTGGCAAATGCTGGCATTCAAAGTGACTTGCCAAACTCCCCAGCACCGCGCCCTGCACCGCGCTGCACCTCCACGCCCTTGTAAAGATCGAAGAGATGGGATTCGCGCAACTCCGAGGGGATGGTCACCTCAGCGCGGGAACTACGACCCAAAAAAGGCAGTGTCAGGTTGGTGTTCAGCGAACAAAGCATGTTGACCATACAATGAAAGAGAGAAAACATGCATAAACCAAAGTGTCAGAAGTTTCGGTCATCTTTCGGAAGGTTTTCCAGTAGGCTGGTGACATCTGGTGATGTGGGATCTGTGAGATCTATGGGATCGGTGATTGTGATGTGGTGCTGTGGTGAGGTGGTCCCCGCCGCACCAAGTCGCCGGAAATGATCCCAGAAACCACGGCCTTTCTACTTTCTCCAGAAGTCTCTACGTATTTGGCAAACTTCTACATGTTTTTTGAATTGGGAGCTCCAAATGTTCACAACTCATTCCTCTGCTGCTTCTAGTGTGATAACAATGGTTTTTGCCCTTCTTGGCTCTCTTGCTGTCGCAGGAAATGATCCCAGAAACATCATCCTGATAGTTGTCTCATTTTGTCTCACGCATATGTGGGGGGTACAAAACTCCAGATTTTGGACGTTCCTGGATGACCACGCACTGCCTGATCTTCGACGTGCCTGAGTCAACCACAAGTTGGCTTCAATGGGCACGCAGGGCTTCAATGGGCACATGCCCGTGAGGTAAATGCCGATACACTACCAGATCTAATGCCAAACGTACTTGAATGTATTGGTGCAATTTTACCCGCGCGAATGAAAGAGGTCGGGTGACTGCAAGGGGCCTCGGACCCTTCTCGTGATGCTGATTTGACAGTTTGGGTCGCGAGAGTCGCTTTCTTGGAGACTTCCAATGTCTTCTCACCCAATCGCCGCATTCACATGGCTAAGGCTTTTTTGGGAGGGTTTATAAAGATGAAAGACCCATAGGAAGCACAGTTGAAAGAACACTCACGCCAGCAAGGGTAACTCTTCCAGTCAGACTTCCTGGACCCTCACCATCCATCGCAAGCTCGTGGCATCCACTTTGGCATCGACCATGCCCTTGTTGACCACCAGCCACAAAGCATCACCTGCGGCTGGTGAGCGATCCACATGTCTGCTTCACCAGAAGAAGTCGATAGCACCGCTATCGTCAAGCATGCACAGTGATTGATCGAGACAGCTACTAGTAAGCAAACAAAGAAGCCGAAGTGATGTCTGTTCGCCCTGTCCAACATCGCCCACGCTCCGCCCACGCTCCGCCGGTCCGCCGCGCGGGTCCCCGCACCGGGTCTTACGCCTCGTCGCCGGAAGAGCGAGGCGAAGATCCCCTTCTCCGGGGCGCTGGCCTCGTGGGACCCGGTGCGGACCCGGTGCAGACCCGGTGGGCGCCTGTGACCAACGAAACGCCATGATGCGAAAGGGCCACCTGGACTCTTGCTCAAACCACTTTTCAAAAACGGCACTTGAGCAAAAACCCTGCAAGTACGCGCCTCAGGTGTGTGGGGTATCCACTCCTGTTCGGCCGAAAGCTGCTTCTGGCGATGGAATTCGAATTTTTGAAGCCATTGCTATTCACCTCCTCAACTCTCTTCTCCAAATCATCCATATTGATCCTACATCCATCCTACATCCACCCGACTCGGGCCCGCCCCGACTCCACCCGACTCAACTGGACTTCACCGGCCGGCTTTCGCCTCGCCTCAAAGTCGTGGGTGTAGTTGCGTCGCCCCGCCCAGCGGAGCAGCGTGGCCGCGCGGCGCAGCAGCGCCGCATCGCGCTCGGTGAGGCGGTTGAAGAGACCCCAAATGTTCTCCTGGTTTTTTCGTTGCCCGGTGTGGTGGAGAATGTAGAGCTGCTAAGCTAAGAGCTGCCAAGTGAAGTGGAATGAACAGATCAGGCGTCTGGGTGGCACGTTACCATGCAAGGCGCAGTCAGCGTATATCTACTTACACGAAAACTGCTGCAGAGCTTTTAGGTCTGGGGCTAAGAAGAGAATATAGAGCTACCAAATGGTGTACCACCTTCGGCCTTTAATGCTCTTAGCGCGGGTTGGCATTTCCCAGCTTTTCCCAGCTGACTATCCACAAAAGCTATTGCAACTTGTTGACATCCAAGGACTGACTTTCCACGGTGGACAGAGCATCCCTACTCTGCCATTCTTTCGGTTCCCACGACCAAATTGGCACGTCACACCAAAAAGCCTTGGACCAAGGGAGCACCCCGCGACCAATGTCGCGCGCCCGCGCAGAGTTCACCGACGGCATCGATCGCTCTTGCGGAGCGGCGGTCCCAGGCTTCGTAGCCATCTCCGTTGAAGAACGCCAGCTGAATGGCACTGGTGCGATTCTTGGACCAGCGGTCGCAGACGTGGGTCAAATGACGGCCCTGGAGCAGAGGTGCAGCAGGGATCAGCAGGGTAGCAATCCGGGTACATCCGCAACGAGTAGAGCAGACTGTGCTGCCTCTTTTCTTTTGCTGAGGCAGCGGCAGCACAGTCATGGCTTGTAGTCGTTGCTCTTTGGGACAGCAACAGTGCAAAGTTGGATGAAAAAAATACCATACTCAATCTGGTCCTTGACATTCCAACCGAACTACAAACACATCGCTTATCGCTTATATCACGTCTGGAAACAGACACTCCAACAGACCGTGCGCCTTCGGATCCAGCCACTTGAGCTTATCAACACCTGTCGAAGCACACAGAAACAGGCGATCACGGGATCTCGGATTGGGATGTTCATATGCATTCTGCAAGCTCGCCACACCATGAGATTTGGAAGTAGGCGATTTTTTGGTTCGTGTTGGTTCTTCACTGATTCACCTCTTGAGCCTCTGCTGAGACTACATGGAAGCCTGGTGCAAAATCATAGCTGTACGTCATCTTGTCGATCTTGTGGCCGAAGTAGCCCCATCCCAAGGGCGTCCATCCTCACACCGAACGAAGTAGAAGCGAAGCACCGCCGCACCCGGTGCCGATCGGATCCTTTTTGGGATCCTCTTTTGCACCACTCCACCAAGCGCTTGGATCCGATGTCCGCAAGAGTTTGGTTTGACGTCTTTCACAACGCGATGTTCTCGTTGAAACTCCTGCAGAGCTCCAGTTGCCATCACAGCTGAAACCTCCTCCCTCAGGCTCGGCAGCAATGGGATAGCCCAGACGGAGGGAGGCACGCCAGAACTCCTTCAGCGCTCAGGGCTTGGCTCAGCTGCGTTTGAGTGAGCACTACAAAAAGGCCGTCTGAACAAATAAGGGTTTGCACGCAGGTTTGCACGTAGGCCATGGTCAAAAGCTGAAAGTGTGATCAAAAGGCCTCTGACTGCGGTCTGACCGCGGTCTGAGCATGCAAGAAGCGTCATCAAACATGATCCCTCTGCGTTGCTCAGATCAAATGAAAGCACAGTGATAGAACGGTCCTCTGGAATGTACATCATGGTGTCACCATTGAAACCGTCACCTCGCAGGCAGGCTTGCAGGACTTCGATTTCGTAAATTGGACGACATGTGCTAAGAAACTTGAAGCTTCATGACTTGGTCGGACTTGTCCATCCAACCTTCTGGCTGGACAAGCTTGAAGTTCTTTCAAAACTTCTGACGCACCAGAACTACCATGTCAAAAAACTGAGTTTTAGAGCAGCGGTAGAAGCTCCAGTAGTAGCCATCAGTCAGGTCATGGTGACGGTTGTTGTGGGTGGTATGTGAGAGGTGCCTATGCTAGGCTGCTAGCAAACTAGCCGAATTGGTGGACGTGGAAGCCAAACGTCTCAGCATGCGTCGAACAAGTCAGGGTCATTAAATCTTTGAGGCAGGTATAGGCAGGTTTGCTGCCTGTGGTCCTTGTGACGTCTTAAGATCTGAACTTGACCAATCGGCACACACGCCCCGTTTCGCCCGCGCGCGTTGACGACGCACGGCGTGTCTGGGGGCGCCTCCTGTGGCCTGCAAGAGCTTCGCGATGACATCCCAATCGGCACCTTCTCGTCGGGTCGCTTGGTCCCAAGGATTGTAGCCTCAGGTGTTGGACAACACAAGCGGAACCCTGCAGAGCGAACCGTGCTCGCTTCTGCAGAGCGAGCTCCGTGTGTGCTGGCACAGAAGTCGTGCATGGACCACTCAGATGTGGACGGACCCCCAGTCAGTCCGGGGGGGAGCATGCATGGCATTCTGGTGTTCTTCCACTCAGCTGCGCGGCCCCAAAGGACCTTCACGTTGTGCCGGTGGAACTCGGCTGTGACGTTGGCCAGGTCGTGCAATCCACCCGGAAGGGCTCGATAATAGTCGAACTGGTTCCTGCGAGGCAAGCACAGTCCGTTTGGACGACCGGTTGCCGAGTCCTATGGCAGAATGACCCCATTCCTGAATCACGGTGGGATATAGGTGTCACCTTTTTGAAGCTGATAGAGAAGCATGAGTGGACTTCACAATATCCCGCTGCATCGCCATGTGTGCGACAGAAACAAGGTCAAAACACACGGCTCCTATCATCAATACCAATATTCGTGTAGGTCGGCCAGAGCAGAACGGAGTCAATGCCACCGTAACGGTTCTTCAAATCCTTCAAGTACCTCTCAACTGTCCAGGTGCCATCGAACAAGTACCTCACAGGGCCGAGCATCCACCCGACCACGAACCACCGTGGGAAGACAGGAGAGGCCGCTCGGTGTCCGTGTTCGGTCTGAGACAGCGTTCTTTTGGGAACAAAACATGGGGGTCGATCAGAAGAGGTCTCAAGGTCCAAAGGGAGGAATAAAAAAAAAAAAGGGAAAAAGCGGAAAAAGAAGCAAGTAGCGTCCGATCGCTCCGTTCGTAGCAATGCCAGGAGCGCCCCGTTCGTAGCGTCGGATCGCTCCGTTCCTAGCGATGCCCTTTGTGACGTTCGTAGCTTCTTGGGGAGAACAAAAAGGTGTCAAAAGTCTGTTCAAAGTTTAAAGAAACACGGGTGCTTTGTTTCAGGGTGGGCCTTCGTAAAATGACAGGAAAATGTTCATGAAATGAAGTCAAATGAACTGTTTGCACATCCGGTACTGAGCAGTCTGTGGATGAATATAGAGTTCCAAAGGATATGTGCACGTCCAAACTGCACACTCGCACGACAAATTCAGGGAATGGACGGGTTTCCTTGTCGACAACTGCTGAATTAATATGCGTTACCTTTGTACCTCAACGCAAACCAAAGCCTGCACATACACCCATCTACAGTCTACACCTGTCATCTTTCAGGACAAAGGTTACACCAGCTTTTGCTGCATGATCCCAAAAATGTTGCCAGACTGATCTCAGCAGGGTGCCTATCATACAGGTGAACCTGAGGCTGAACAAAAGAAGTGCGCGTCCAGTACAGAGTATCCTCCTGATAGGCCTCATCAACATAGCTCCTCACATGTTCAAACAAGCACTCTTGATGTGCAAATGTCCATGACAATGAAGCAATCTTAACCGTTAAAACAACCGCCACCAGGCAGATGTTTGAAGACATGGAGCCCTCGACCCCCAGAGACATGGAGCACCAATAAGGCAGCCACACCTCTCCTGAGGTGTTCTTCTCTCCATCTCTTCAGATCGGAAAGCCAGAGCTCATGAGGCTGGTCCTTCTCCGGTGCCGGAAAGGTGCGCGCAATGGAATTCCAACAATCGCGGCCAGCAAGCACCCCAGAGACACTCACACTCACCAGTCGCAGCCAGAGTCGCATGGCCGGGAAGATTGGATGAATTGGATTTTGGTATGGCCTTCAACCTAAGAGCGATGGCCTCCAACCTACCAGCGATGGATACGTGCAAGCGTGGGTACAGCCAGAAACCATAAGCGCACAAAATTGATGTTAACTGCCATGAATGCCCTACGATTTGTTCTTCACCTGGGTGTGTCACCTGCAATGTAAAGAACTGAAACAGCTGCTGTGAAAACAGCTTCGGATGTTCAACAGGCTCAGAGAGTTCGAAGAATGGAGGGCTTGTTTCCCTGCAGCTCAGCTGTCCACACTCGTCTTTCTTTTGCTACGAGCCGTCCAACGAGCCAGAGCCCTCATCGTCAGACGAGCCGTCACTCCCATCTGCGAGGTGGCAGGCAAGCCTCTCTCTGGCAAAAAAGAACTGTACCACATCTAGCCCACGAGGAAGTTTCGCCGTCCCTCCAATGCCAAGGAGGACCACGAAGACCATCGCCACGATGAGAACATCTGCAACAGCGAGCCAAACAAAAGCCACTGTGGTGATGCGGAAAAAAGCTAGCAACGGCCACGGCGATGGCAAACAATCCAAGCATTCCTGTCATGAACTTGCTCATGACCTTTAGAACGAAGCATCGTTCATCCCTTGGTTTCAAGCAAAGCAGAGCTATCAAAATCACCCTCCCAAGCACAGCTACACTTGGGAAAACTGCAAGAAACCACCAGTAACCGCCATGCTCAAGCATGTACGTCATTGCAGCTTCCACAGCTACCAGTGTCCCAAAAGGGCCAAGCAAGAGCACCGGTCCAGTGATTTCAGAAAACGCTGCACCTTTAATGTTCACCCCTGCATGAGCAAGCTCCCGGAGCTTTGGCGTTGACATGCCAGCGCTCATCAAGACCTCAATGGCATGGTTCACGGCATCAACCTGATTGCCAATCTCGCTGCGAATGGCTCGCTCATCGGCCTCTTGTGAACATTCTGCATCTTCAATGCCAGAGTAGCCCTGGCGGAGCATTTGGGCTTCCAACTTCGTGCATCTCCCTCGAACACGGTCAAAGTCCATGGTATAGAAAAGAAGTGAAGCCACCAGCCAGAAGAGCACGCGAGTGGCAGCCACAATGTCCCTCGAGATGTGCCACTGTTGACCCGGCAGAGGTCTGATGTACACGTAGAAATCGGTCAATTGAAACCAGACGACCGCCTGGCCGACACAGTTCAGGACCATCCGAAGCAGATTGCTCCGGATCGACAGACTCAGAAGAGAGGAAATGCCTATCAAGGCTGGAGATCCAATCGGGCCCCTAAGGTCCATAAAGAAGAGCGTCCTACCTGCACAAGCACCAAAGAATGCTGCCCCAAACATTTGCAGCAACAAATACAAATGGTCATAGAAATGTGAGGCTGTGGCAATCAGAATGGTTTTATCCTCTTCTTGGGCCAGGTAGGCCTCATAGGCACACCAAAGCCTCGAGTAAACACTCGTGTGACGGTTAGGCACCACCAATACGATTTCAGAGGCTCGCAATGCAACGGCAAATGGCGAACTGATTGGCGAGGCCAAGAAGCGCTCAATATTCAAGTTTTGAGGATTGGCAAGCATACAGCACCAAGCATGTCGCAAACCTCTGGGCCAAGAGTGTTTCACTTTGGCTAAGAATTCAAAAACACCCTCTTGCCACGCATGGCTGATGAACAAATCACAGTCCAAACCGTCTCGATTTCGCATCAAAGCCCAACTGATTTTGCCGGCACCCAGTGTCACAGGCTTGATATATTGCTCATTCACCGTGTAAATGTTTGGCCCATAATCTTCCCAGTAAGTGTCCCCATCGGTCAGGGGCTCCAGTTCACCACAGCGGATGGCACGTTGCAGTTCCTGTCTCAAGAAGTTCAAGTCTGCGAAAGTCACACACCAGCGATCTGCTGGCACGTGCTCGTGGAGTGAATAAGCAGCGGTGGTCGTTGTCCTTCGATCGCTGCGGGAAACCATGGACACTGCTGAAACAAAGACGTGATAGGTCAGAAATATGTCTTGGCAAAGAATAGTGTCTGGAAAAATGTGTAGTCAGGCAGTGCATACCCCATATGACCGAAGGCCAAATTGAATATTCTGCAACATCCAGATCTAGTCGGTTTAGAGGCACTTGCTCTTGATAAGTCAGTGCCTGTTGCAACGTGAGCAGTCAACGCATTGAGCCAGACCCTTTGGGGTCGTCAGGTCAAGCAAAATTGCTGATCTCTCGTGTACTAAGCTCAATTGGAGGCTCCTATGCAGAAACCGAAGATCCCACTCTACGACTTAACGAGATTTCGATTAGAATTGACTTCTTCATGGTGACTTTGTCGAGATGTCAAAAGAGGTCTGGCTCTTCTGAACTCGGAACAGGCTTGCTCGATGAAAATCAAAAGGTAGCTGAAGGTTGCTGAAGGACAATGAAACGACGTGGAAGAACCTATGAGAACTTGATGTGCAACGAGCAAAAGCAATACCCGATCGGAATGATCCCAAATTCAGTGGCATGGCACTCTTTACAATTCCTTTTATCTTGCAGGATGAAAGGCCAGCAGCTTCTTCAAGGAGATACCTGGCAAAGAAAACCGGAACCTTCACCAATAGGAGCCTCCAACCTAATAGCAATAGCCTCCAATCTACTAGCGATCGCCTCCAACCTACTATATAGCGATGGCCTCCAACCTAGTAGGAGCCCATTTCACCGTGCTATGCATCGGTTCTGGGGGGGCCCACCAGCACACGTGCCCACCAGCCCAGCTGTCATCCAAACTCCCGAGACATCGCTGTCATCGCTGTCATCGCTGTCTTTTCTATCCTTTCCGTGCGACACACGCCGCGTTAGACCGTTAGTCGCGACACATTTCAAGGAGCTTTGAAACCAAAAAAGTGGTTGCCCATCTTCCCCTCCGCCGACCCTCGAGCGGCGTCCAGAGACCAAAGGCTAACAAAAAGGGACCGAGCAAGTAGTTTCCGAAACATCTGGCCATGAAGAATGCTTTGGTCTGAACAGAAAGGAAAACACATCTCACGATGACAGCTGGCGATAATGAGAAAGATATTGAATCGCGCGGAATGGTATGCCGGAAAAATTGGCAAAAACCTGCCATGGATGAAAATGGCACGAAAACGCTAAACTCTTTATTTTTTGCTTCTGGCCATATGGATGTTGGTGCGATGATGTTTCGTGAGATCCATTTACCACCGGATCCATAGGTACTTTGGAGGAGCATCTTGCTGACTGAGTCCACAGTTCCCTCTCAAAGATGGATCTCGACCAGTCTGCCTGCGCCTACAAAGAGGATCAAGGAGGCTTTGCCTAGCAGGCCGGGAAAAGAAGGAAAACAGCAAGTCGGAGAGCTTTTCATCATCAATCGCTTTTGAGTCCGGCGAGGCTCAGAAATCTTCGCAGTTTCTCAGGTACGGGATGATCGGGAATGCAGCATCCAACCCCAAAGGTATCCAGTGGTCAGATCTGAGACTAGGTGGATGAAGTAGGCAGCGAAGAAAACAGTACTGATCTACTAAGCTTGTTGAGCCAAGTGTTAAAGAAGTGCAGCAAGTGAGTATCCATCTGCAAACAGCAGCTTGAAGCATTAGAACACCAGATAGCTACAACGGAGTCAGAATGTGGAGATACAAAATGGCGCAAGGAAATGGAAATTATCCAGAAGATGCTTCCTGAAGTCGACTAGCAGCCACTGGAAGCAATCATTGCAGGCACAACGATTGACCACACTGAAACCTGGAAGATGCTGAAAATGAGTGAGCTAGGTGTGAAAATTGGAATTTACTTGAAAGAACGCCATTTCCTAGAGGCAGGGGGGGTCAGACTTGAGTAGATGAGTTGATGCACTCAGGACATGTCACCCTGACCATGTACCAATAGATGTGGCGCCGCTACAAGTGGCTCCAGCAAAGTCCAAAAGCACAGGCCAGTGAAAGCACCGGCTGATTCGATAAAGAAGACAAGCAGCTACTGTAGCGCTCTTCCCGTGAGCCCTTTGTTAGAGACCATGGAATCTCCAAATCAGCAAAAATCTCCAAAATCCCTCAAGTATTCAGTTGACATCTGCAATTTCTCCTGATTTTCTCACGATTCATCAAAGGAACATGTATACTGAATGTGGGTGCTGAAGGCGCCGGTCTTCATCTGCACCTGCCAAATTGTCGCAATGATGTTTTCCATACTTCTACATCAAAGAACAAGACTTGCGCAACGCCATGTTGCATCATTTCCACACAACACTTCACTTCCTGGACGAGACCAAAAACTCGACGACGACTCAGTCAGCAGCTTGTTTTCGACGTCTTCGCACCCGAGAATGGTTGAAAAATGCATGCAAATCCCGCTCACATCGTGTAGAGCTGTTGCAACAGATTGCAAGCTTTGTGGAAAGTAGCGGAGGCTTCCAAGAAACCCTCCAACTTCTACTTGAAATCTCTGGATCCACACAGTCTATACAGAACCCATGCACACACTCATCACATGCTGATTTGGTCAGGTTTGGTTGGGCTAGCTTCAAGGGTCTCTCAACAAAGTCAACTGCCAGTTTCCCAAAAGAATCTGCCATCTGTTGAGCCTGTTGCCGAGTGAAGTTGCCACTGACATGAAGTTTTGTTTCAATGGATCCATTCGAAACAAATGCTCGGAGGACGAGATCTGCCAGAGGCAAAGGTGGAGGAATCAGGTTTCTGGAACATCCTGCAGAATCCTCTTGTGCCCAACCGCCACGAGGTTCCCAATAGAGAATGGCTTCGAAAGCTAGGTCGAAGCCCCAGACTTTCAATGGGACAAGGCCATGTTCGTGTACATCTCGAACTGTTCTCTTTACATCTTCCAGCAGCTGAGTCAGATCAAAGGGTTTTGGCATACGGATGATGTAGGGCAACAGGTGCGCGAAACACCCGACCGTATGCCAAAATTCGTTTGGCCGGCCGTGGAAGGGGCCACCAATGATGACTTCCTCTCGTTTTTTCCAGCAGCACTGCCAGTAAGCAAACAATGCAAGAAGCTTCGAATGTTCTCGCGGGAACCCTTTTGGGAAAGCGATATCGATCGCATGCTGACCGTGATTCTCCTGCGGCATCGGCATGACAGGAAGGTGCAAGGAAGCAAACTGTTGAGACCAAAATGCATGATCTCTGCGCCCACGTTCACTTGACAAATGCTTACCGTGCATCCACTGAATATACCGATGAAATTGACCTGGGCTGGGTGGCAGCTTGAGACTTAGAGCGCTCATAGCTTCTGATTGGCCCAGATTCAAGTACAATGGTCCAAGCTGGCTGCGGCACTCACTGGTGGAACACTCCTGACTCAAAAGAGTACGAAACTCTTTGTCCAAAATTGCCAGAGAAAGCCCATCAAATGCCACGTGGTGGACCTTCACCACCAGCAAACATTGAGATTCTGGGCTCTGCTTCCCGGTGTCACCAAAGGTCACCAAAAGCACTCGGATTGCAGGCACGTTCTTAAGATCTAACGGCTGCCACGCAAACTCCTTTGCAATTTTCTCAAGATCCTGCCCAACGGCTGCCGCACCAACGTGTCTGGTTTCGACCACGTCAAAGCACTCCGGGCTGTGCCCGTGAAGCATGTCGGAATTAAAAGTTCTGCGAAGAATCCAGTGCCGCCCCTGCAAAATGTTCACCGCAACTGTCAGCAATTCCTTGGGTACAAAGCTCATCAGACGCCACCACGATACAAAAAGTCGTTCAAAGCGTTTTGCCAGAAAAGCTTCTTGAACCGGGGACAGCTGTGGTCGCAGCAACATGGTGCGGGCCAATTCAGTCATTCTTTTCGCAGATGGTACCATTGGTGCCGGAACCTTAAGAATTCCAAGCCGATCCTTCACTTCTTGAGGCTTTTGGAGAGCGGCGGCCATCGGGGCGTCCAGATCTTTTGCGGTCGCAATCGGCTTTTGAATTGTCCGGCTGACCAAAGCACTGCGGAGACTGTTGCTTGGTCCGCACAGCACGGGGCGACTCTTTAGACTGCGTTTCAATCTCTTCAGCTTCTTCAAAGGGAGTTGCGCTACTACACAAGTTTCCAAGGACCTAGGAGTTGGCACCTGCAGGAGCTGAGTCTTTGCCGACACGTGGCTATGCCACACGCCTTGTGTGGATCTGTCACCAATGATTGGTTTGATGTCACGCGGATGAAGAGCTGCCAAGGGTACAGAATTCAAGCTGAACCAAGCACAGTGCAAGGAAACGTCGGCCCCGCAGCTACTTGGTCCTTGTTGTTGTAGCTGAACCTTCACAGCCGACATGGATCTACTGTCTTTCAACAGATCTCCATGCCTCGCAAAGGCTT